AATTTAATCAGGTAAAATGAAGCACTCAACATTCATCACTAGTAGTTATACAGAGCATGTAATCATAGGTCTTACTCTCACTGCTTCTTTATTCTCACTTAAAGCTGTTATTTTAACTTGTCAAATCTCCATAGCAACTGCTGCCTCAATTTTTATAGCTAAAGCAGTAGGAATCATTTCTAACCATACTAAATGATCCAATATATTGTCAGCTTTGTTAAAATCTTTGGCTCTTCTTCCCAAAAAGGCAGACTTCTCCCCAATATAACATAAAGAATCAGCATCACCTTTTACCTAAATCTCACCATCAGATTTATGAAAGTCATTCTTTCTTCTTAGTTGGAGGAGAGGGTGTCTCTGTGAAATGAAATAAAAACACCCCTCTATCTCCCCTGAGTGCTACTCAACTGAGAAATAAGACCAGGGTAACAAACAGAAGCTGAAATACTCCCTACACTACTATGAAAGGCCAGAATATCTGAAAAACTTAGTGGGTAGAAACAACATGAATTGTAATTGAGCTTCCATCCTAAGAAGGCAGACATGGAAGCCTATGGAGAACTCCAGTGAAGAAACCGGAGAGAAGTGTGCTCTGTGGGCAACCTGGGTCCCAAAAAGGAAAAAGCTGAACATGTCCAGACTATTATTCCTAAATTTACCTCAGATACCGCCCCTCCTCACCTGGCATGGAATAAGTGACAGACAGAAACCAAGAATTTCACTAATGGAACTCCTTCTGCTTGGAAAAAAAAATTACCATAAAAGAGGGTAAATTATTCTTTCTGCTCCCACTCCCAAACACTGCAAAAGTTACCAAAGAGGATTCATTTGTAACAGAGCATCTCTTCCTTTCCATACAACTTTAGTCATCCAAAGATATCAGATTGCAATTTACAATAAAAATATCTTTATCTTAACAACTATAAACCCCTTATTTTCCTGGTATTTAATTTAATTTCCTGGTATTTCATTGGCGGAAAAACAATCTTCCATCTATTTTGTGTCCCATTTACTTATTTTTCTAAACCTAAAAATCAAAAGTCTGCATTATACTAATGTGAAAATCAACAAATGTATTCTGGTTAAATAAGCTAACTTTTTTAAATTTTTTTTTTTTTAGTTGTAGTTGGACACACTACCTTTATTTTATTTATTTTTATGTGGTGCTGAGGGTGGAACCCAGGGCCTCCCATGTTCTAGGTGGGCGCTCTACCGCTGAGCCACAACCTCAGTCCACATAAGCTAACTTTTTAAAGTCTCAGTTTCCTCTTTATAAAGTGGGGCAATCTACCACATAGAGATTATTTTGAGGATTTAAAGAAAGTCTGCATGTGTGACACTTAGTAATCCCATGCCTACCACCAAAACAGCACTTAGTGAATATTAGAGATGGTGATGGTGGTGGTGATGATGATGATGATGGCAATGATTTTGCTTTTCTTCATAATATAACTCTAAAATATATTCTGAACCTATGGCATGTCTTCATCTCCAAAGCTACCTAAAATCTCTCAACTGTACTATTAGGACAGCCCTTTTTGAATAACCTGAAGGTTATTCAATAAGGAGGTTATTGCCTCCTACAGGTGTTCTTCCACAGCAGGCACATTGATCGTTTTTAAAATGTATATTAGATCTTGTCACCCTCTCACTTGAAGCCTTCTAATGGCCTCTCAAACTCAGAATCAAATTCAAACCATTATCCTGGCCTACAGGTTGGACATGAATTGGCCCTGCCTACCTCTTTAGCTTCACATTCCTCTACTTTCCTACCAATGTCTAAAGAGTTTACTATTCTTTAGCCATTGAGGCCTTCTTTCTTCCCCCTTAACTCTTCAAGCTGACTCTTCTCTAAGGGCCCTTTTTGAGAAATTTAAAGCCCATAATCAAAAAGATAATCCCTCCTACTTTCACTTCTCAATTTAAGTAATAAGTTCTTTCTTTTTAGCACTGGAGATTGAACCCAGGGGCACTGTACCACTGAGTTATATCCCAAGTCCTTTATTATTATCATTATTTATGTATTTGTTTATTTTGAGACAGAGTCTTACTAAGTTGCTGATGCTGACCTCAAACTTTTGATCTTTCTACCTCAGCTCTGATTCATTGAGATTATATTTATGTGTCACAATGATAAGTAGGAACAAATTCTTCATCAGAAAATGAAAATAAGAAATTCAAAATTCAAAGTTTCTTTTCTTTTTTTTTTTATATTTTATTTTTTAGTTCTCGGCGGACACAACATCTTTGTTGGTATGTGGTGCTGAGGATCGAACCCGGGCCGCACGCATGCCAGGCGAGCGCGCTACCGCTTGAGCCACATCCCCAGCCTCAAAGTTTCTTTTCTAAAATATTTTTTTAGCTGTCAATGGACCTTCATTTTACTTATTTACTTATTTATTTATTTATACGTGATGCTGAGAATTGAACCCAGTGCCTTGCATATGCTAGGCAAGCACTTTACTACTGAGCCACAACCCCAGGCCCAAATTCAAAGTTTCAAGAAACAAAAATTAAATCCTTTTTTTCTTTTATTTGCTATAATAATTATCCTTGGCTCTTGACACAAAATGACCATTGGTTCATGCCTTATTTGTGGGACTTCTTTGGTATTTATAATGTAATAATTAAACCCTCTACAGAAAATAAACCATAACCCAACATTCAACTATAATCCAGTCTCTCCACCTGATGTCACTATCATTCTGAATATATGATACAGAAGATCTCAACAGCCCTATCAACAACCTTAAATATTTACAGAACATTCCACCAAACATTAGCAGAATATACTTTCAAGTTTATGTGGAAAATTCCCCCACAGTGACCATATGCTGGGCCACAAAGTAAATGCCAAGGAAAAAGTTTTCAATCAAAAAAAAGTATGACACACCCCTGGGTCCTGTGCTAGGGTGGATATTAGATGGGATGGGGGCAACTTTGAAGCAGCATTTGGAGGATACAATGAAAAAATCAGTCCATTGTTGGAGTTGTGTGCAGATTCACAAGGATTTAATCTAGGTGGTTGCCAGACCCTGTCAGATGAATATACAAGGGTGATATATGTTGTAATCCAGCAAACAAACCAAACCTCTGACCATACTGATATTCCTGTGGTTTGCCTAGAATCAGATAATGGAAATATTATAACCCAGAAATATGATGCCATTATGATGGCAGTGCACAAAATGGCCTCTTGGTGTCTCTCAACAGTTCTCCAGCACACTTTAACAGGAACTCAATCCCACCTATGTTAATGACTTGATAAAACTACTTTAATTCCAAAGATTGGACCATTCATTTAATGTGAATTGGGTACTTTTTTATTTATTTTAGAGCAAGGTGCTTTTTAACCAACCTATCAGGATATTAGTAAGAAGTAGCAGGTCCAGGTCACTTTGCATATAAGATTTTGTTATGTTAAATAAATTTGCGTGGAACAAAGTTAAAAAGCAAAACAAACAAACAAAAAAGTTATTACACCATAATAAAATTAAGCCAGAAATCAATAACGTGTCTAAAAAAAATCCCTAATGTTTAAAAATTAACATATGTCTAAATGATCCATGGTCAAAAGGGAAATTGAGAGGAAGTCAGTAAATATTTTGAGCTGAATTAAAACTAAAACCTAACAAAATTTGTGGCATGCAGCTCAAGCAGTGTTTGAGGTTTATTTACACAGACATATATTAGATAACAGCAAAGGTATCCAACCAATAACTATAGAGAATTCCAATAATTTTATGTTGCCTCAGCATTCATTTTGAATTTGGAGTTAGACTTGCTGATACCAGAAGCAGGGCTTATTTTTCATTTCTCTACTTCTTCCAAGTTCCCCACTGTAATCAATCTAGGATCTACCTTATACCAATACCTTCTAGGAATCCTTATAGGACATACAATCTAACTCCTCTTACTGACCCCAACACTCTGCATGGACTACATAGATCCACCACACTGACCTCCTTTCAGTCACAGAAGATCTCACAGAACTCACACCAGCTCACTTTGAACCCACCAGCTGGAATTCCTCCAGACTTAGGCTGGAGTAACACCCTAGAACCCACTAAAGGGTTTAGTCACACAGGTCCTATTCCCCTCTCTTGCTCCCCATCCACTGGTTGAGTGCATCCCAGATGGATTCTCTCCTCCCCTGTTGGTCCTGTGAGGTATGCTGCCCTCTTCTTTCTGTGATCTATAAGGTAATAAAATTGATTGCTTTACCCCATTTCCTGTTTTGTTGTGCTGCTTCCTGCATCTGACCTGACATATCCAAACCTAATTTCTTTTCCTGTCAGGGATTTCCTAGAGTGGCTATCTTACTTAGGATAAATTGGACACAGGTCCAACAAGAGTTAAAGTGTCTCCCAGTAACACCTACCTGTAAATGTGGCACCTGGTCACAAGTTAGAGGCTTAAGCATAGGATAAAGAAATGTCCTGTGAAAAGCACACTGTAAATATCCATGACCACATCCCCTGGATCTCCATCAGGGTGGGACTAGAGTTTTTAGTCATTCTCCTGGGGGAGACCCCACCCCTAGACCAAAGTCTTGACTTTCCTTTCGATTATTTTTAAATGTACTTAGATACCTGTCCCCTCACACCTAGAGTATTAACTTTACATGATTAGAAATCTTTACTGCCATACCCTGGTGCACAGAAAAACATTTTTTTAAAAATTTGTTGAGTGTGCCAACATAACAGATACCTCTAATATTTACTTCATTCTAAAGGGAAAATACGAGGTCTAAAGAGTTAATTAAATGAATAGCCCAAGGACGCACAACCAATAAATGACAGCTTTCAGGTTTAAGGCCCAGTCTAACTCCAAAACTTGGATTTAATTACTATGCCACGTTGCCTCACTAAATTTTACAACTTACTATGCTGCTTTTGACTGTGATTTAAATTCAGGATTCTAATTTTCTAAGCTATATTCTGATGGGTTCCACTCCACCACACAAAACCACAAGACAGCAGCCCGACCCGCCTGCGAACCTGACGTGCCAAGCCCAGGCCGGTGGATTTACGGAGAGCGCCTGCGCGGCCCGCGGACGTCGCGCACGGGATTCTGGGATGGGTAGTTCGCGTTCCCCCGTCCCTGGCATTCACCTGAAAAAGAAATAACGATGCAAATTACATATCTGTGAATTTCATCAAAACCAAACAAGACGCAGGTCCTGGCTCAGGAAAGTGATGCAAATGCGTCTTTTTCAAATGAGGCGCCGACCTCGAGACAGGCGCCGCATAGACACCGCGTGGGGTCCTTGATTGGGCGGGGCTTGCTCGCGGTGGTTTGTGGCTCCTTCCTGTGTCGCTTCTCTCTTTCCCTCGGCCCCGTGGCGTCGACAAGATGGGTGAGCTTTGCGTGGCTAGGCTGAAGGGCCCGCAAGCGGGATCTGTGGTCTGGGAGCGGGCAGGCGCAGGGGAATAGAGCTAGGAGTAGGGTTCCAATGGGGAGGCCTAACGGGGAGGCAGGGGAGCGCGGCTTGCGCAGGCACATGGTCCGGCGCGGAAGAAGTCCATGCGGGCGAAGCGCCGCCGAGCTCGCGTTATCCAGGGTAGCTGACGCTACTCCCTGAGCGTTACCGCGAGGCCTCACTTTTTGGAAAAATGCACCCACTGTTGCTCCTTTGTCCTCTCCTTAGTTGGTTCGTGAGAACTTTGAGGTCGAATGGCCCCTGGGACTAAGATATATGCTGCGAGGGTTTAGGGGCTAAGGTGTACAAAATGACGTGGTCGTAGTTTTGCGGAGGAATTACAATGATTTTTATTTTTAGGCAAGTGTCGCGGTCTTCGTACTGCCAGGAAGCTCCGTAGTCACCGACGGGACCAAAAGTGGCATGATAAACAATACAAGAAGGCCCATTTGGGCACAGCCCTGAAGGCCAACCCTTTTGGAGGTGCTTCCCATGCAAAGGGAATTGTGCTGGAAAAAGTGTACGTGTAGTCTGTTGCTCCTTTTAAGTCTTGTACTCTGCGCCCTAGAAAGAAGTACGTTAGTTGAATTGTCTTAAAAAGCTGCAGTAAGATTCTAGGTTTTGGCGTAGCCATGTTGGGGCATTTAGGGGGAATTTTGAAGTTGGTAACATAATGCTTGGGTGTTAAATACAAAAGATTTTAATTCCAGCGTTGGTCTGGGAGGAGTTAGGATACAAATGGGGGACATAAATTAACACTTGTGTGTGGAAACTTACAAGGAAATGATACCCATTAAGTGGGCAATCATTGTAATCAAATAATTATACTTGAGAAAACTAAGGTAAATAGAAGTGACTTGTCTGAGGAAATACAGCAAAGATTGAGCCATGTGGATTTGCCGGTATTTGGTTTTAACTTTTAATTGTTGATTTTTTTTTAATATTGTCATGTTTAGTGATAGTTATAGTTTGAAGCAAGACTTTCTAGCTCTAATTCTTTAATTATCTTTACAACTGTGAAGGGACTACAGCTTTTCCTTTTATGCTGTGAAAAGATTGAGAAAAAAACTTGTTTGGAATTACAGGATTTGAGGGATTTAGACTGGATTGGAAAGATGAAACATTCTAATTAGTTCTATATTTACTGTATGTGTAACTTTTCAAAAAGCCAGTTCATTCAGTGGGGCATGATAGCAAGCTCCTGTAATCTTGTGAGGCAAGAGTGTTACAAACTGGAGGCTAGTCTTGGCAACTTAGGGACCCTATCCCAAAAATCAAAGGCTTGGGGATGTGACTCAGTTGAAGAGCACCTCTGGGTCCAGTCTCCAGTACTGCCAAAGCGGGAGAAAGTTAACCTTATCATACTATTTATTTTAGAGGTGTTGAAGCCAAACAGCCAAATTCTGCCATCAGGAAGTGTGTCAGGGTCCAGCTGATCAAGAATGGCAAGAAAATCACTGCTTTTGTACCCAATGATGGTTGCCTGAACTTTATTGAGGTGAATGTTTCAAATAAGTTTAATTGTTTTTGGTTTCTGTTTTGGAGATGGGCTCCCCCATTTTTTATCTAATGAATGAGAATTTTCTTTTGTGATTGTCATTGACACCAGAAGTAAACTTATTCATTTATTTTCAGGAAAATGATGAAGTTCTAGTTGCTGGATTTGGTCGAAAAGGTCATGCTGTTGGTGACATTCCTGGAGTCCGCTTCAAGGTTGTTAAAGTAGCAAATGTCTCCCTTTTGGCCCTATACAAAGGCAAGAAGGAAAGACCAAGATCATAAATTTTGCTGATGAAAACAATAGTAATAAATTTTCATATTCCAGAAATGTTTTGTATTTTATTTTCTCCCTCTTACTCTACCACAAGTTACATTGTGTGCTTTACCAGTTTTAGGAAATGGAAGAATGATTATTTGAGCATTTGTTCGTGGAATTAGTAACCTAGAACAGTTTCCCTTTCTCCATGGATTAAAGGAAATTACTTAAGCCCATAATAAATGTACAGTTTTTACTCTAGAGTACTTTTTAAACTGATTGAATTTCTAGATTTTATTTTAGCGGTTCTCAGGGTTCATTGAGCAGGGATCCATGGGTATCCTAAGTTGTTCCCTGTTCTGTTGTGTATCTATGTTATTCTGTGTAAAGTGGGAATGATTTAGTTGATGGAAGTACCTGCCAGGCAAATTGAGGCATAGAGGGAAGGGTTATCAAAGAACAAGCAAAGACTCGTAAGCCACATAATTGGTCTTTTGGGTGCCCTTTCCATAACTGTTGAAGGTGAGTGTTGAGTACATGGAACTTCTGTCAAAATTTTTGTTTTTGAAATTTCCTTAAAGGGCATGGCTGTTAGCCTTCTAGATTATATTAGTGATCTAAAAGACTCCTGTTGACTGCATCAATAAATGTGGTTAATTTGTTTGATCATTGCTTAAGCCTTAGGTTATGTTTAGGATCTTTGGATAAATTTGATCTCTCATGGTAACAAGATCAGGCAGCTTATGGAGGCATAGGAAATCCTGTAAGTTTCTGTCCATCCTCCCAGCAACACTGTCCTTTTAAGTTACTGAAACATGGATTCCCCAACTCATTGTTATCTTCTTTTTTTGACCTTGCTGGCAACAGGGTGCCTCAGCATATTTGTGCTTGTTCTGATCAAAAATTCTGTATTTGCACAAGGACAGAAAATCTAGCTGTCTTCGTTTCTTCCCAGAGTGATTCTTGACCCATAGTGAAGTGGCAGTATTGGCTAAAGGATTACCAATGGCTGACCTTTGTGTGACTTTTTTCACATAGGTCTTTCTAATTGGAGATTGCTGGGGTCAGTCACTGGTTCAACCCAGAAGAGAGGTCACTTGGTCCACACCCCAAGTGTCTCGTGGCAGAGTGGGGCCCCACACTGAGGTGAGGCTTGTCTGGAGGGCACTGCTGGTGTATGTGTGAGGTCCCTGGGATTGGAACTCTTATGACCACACTTGAAAAAAAGATCAAGACACTTTCCACAGTGGCTTGCAGGAGCAGTCTCTTGTTGCTATGCCTTCCAGTAGTCCCTAAGTTTACTTCAGGTGCCTCAAACCCAAAAGCTTCTGAAACTGCCCTTTAATTATGCTTCTGCTGCCCCAGTAGCCCCTCCACCACCTGGTGACAAGGCACTTCTTCAACAGGAAGCCTGGGCCTAGGGTGAGAGGAATGAGGTACGTAACAGGAACACAAAATTTAAGCAAAAGCCAAGAAGCTTTCTTCATATAGGAAAACATTCTAAAATTTATATGAAAAGCAAAGAAACTAAGATTGTTAAAATGAAAGTGAAACAATCACAAACCTGATTTTAAAGTTTTATTTATAGCTCTAGTAATAAACCTGGAAGAGGCATGAGACCAGATAAATGAAATAGGAAGTCCAAAATAGGTATACAAAAGTATGTTGAATTGATTTTGTTTTTAAACAAAACCAATGAAGGAAGGATAGTCTTTTCAATAAATGATGCAAACTTTGATTTTGGAAACAATAAAACTCTCAACCTACACTTCACACATAGAAAGATTAACTCAAAATGGATCACATCTGAATGTAATCATGAAACTTTTAGAACCTCTTTATATCTTCTAATCACATTCAATAGTAATAAGAACTTTTGTCAATTCAAAAGTAATGAAACAATCCCATTACAAAAGAGTCTCTTCTCAAAAGAGATAAACATGGAAAGATAAGCTTATCCAGAAAACGAAAATTAAAACCCCAATGAAATATATTGTATTTGATAGGTGTATATCACTACACACCTATCAAAAGGGCTAAAATTAAAAATACAGAACCAAGTATTAGGATGTGGGATAACTGGATCTCATTTTTGAAGAAAATAAAAAGTAATACAGTCACTTCAGAAAAGTTGGGCAGTTTCACATGAAGTCGTCGAGCATATTCACCATGAACCAGTCATTGGCCATTGTACTCCTGAGTAGTTATCACACAAGTTAAAATATATGCACATACAGTATCCTGTGCACAAATGTTTATGGCAGCTTTATTTGTGATAGCCAAGAAGTGGGAACAACTTCAATATTCAGTTAGCAGTTAAACTGGAACACCATAAGTTAAATACTATTTAGCCAGAAAAAGAAACTTGTTACAAAACAAAAGCATGGGGGATGTGGCTTAGTGGTTGAAGCCATTGGGTTCAATCCATGGTGCCAAAAACCAAAAAGGGTTGGGGGGAGACAGGGTCAGGCAAGGGAGTTTATTTGGAGTTTACCGAAATCAATGCTTGTGATGAAATTTTATAATACTACACACCAAAATAAAAGTATTTAAAAATTGATGAACTGTAAGTAAAGTCTACTTAGTAGTGTTGTATTGATATCAACTTTCTGATTGTGAATATTTTCTGGTTATGAAAGATGTTATCATTTGGGAAAGCTGAGTGGCACAATTTTTGCAACGTTTATTGTGTGTGTGTTATATAATTTGTTCCTATACATATAAGTTGTGAACAGGTAGTTATCTGTATTAGTTCTGTTTGCCCAGCAAAGTTCAAATAAATAAGAAATTGTTAGAGCAAAAAGAACTCGGAGATCACTTAGTCCTAAGGTTCTCAAATCCAAGGAACATAGAATTCCGTAAGCCATATTAGTGTTAGATTACAAATATCAATTTTCTGGGAAAACAATCTATCTTGAAGGTGCTCTAAGGAGAATCTGTCTTCTGACAAACTCAGGTAATTCTTAGGTAGCAATCCCCTGGTTTTCCCCCTTGTAGGAACCATTGATCTTATCCAGCCACCTCATCTTACAAATTAGAAGCCCAAAGAAGGTAGCTCTTAAGATTTTAAAATTAATTGCCCAAATAATCAGGATAGCTGAGATCAGAACAATAGTTTGTTCTCTAACTGAAATTGTTCCAGTCAGAATGTCATCCCATTGCAAAACAATAAACACTGCCTTAACAGTAGCTACTTAACAGTAGTCAGTTCAGGCATATAAGCTTCTGTTTTGTGTCTTGTGAAGGGAAGAATGTGTTATAATGTGATTAGTAATTTTTTTGTAGGTGTGTTTATATGGAAGTATTGGAATGCTTCAGTTAGTGATGTTCTGGAAAAAATTTGAAATGCTATTCAGATATATGTGGCTTTTTTCTTTTATTTTTTGACACAGCTGAGAGACATTTCTAATTTGACATATACACGAATATGAATGTGTATCTGTGTATATTAAATTCCTGTATTTCATTCTCGGAAAAATGTTTAGTTGCAGGATTTGATCACACTGGTCATGTTGTATATAATATTCCTGAATTCTGTTTGAAGGTTGCCGAAGTAGGTAACGTTTCTTTATTGGCTTTGTACAAAGTCAAGAAACAAAACCAAGAT